TTCAAAAGGAGCAACTATAGCTGTTTTAAGAATAAAAATACTATATCATAGATGTGAAGTCTTTGGTAAGGTTTTGAAAATATTGTAATTTAAAGATAATTTCCAGAGAGGTAGGAATGGGGTGGAGTCAAAGGAGAGAGAGTTTCTGTTTTACAAGATGAGTAAGTCCTGCGGATCTTGGGTGCAGCACAGACCCGTAGTTAACCCCCACCCCCCTCGATAACAAAGTGGGAGGAAGTATTTAGAGCTGATGGATAGGTTTTCATAGACTGTGGTGATGGTTTCCCGGGTGCAGACTTCTCTCTAAACTCATTGAAATGTCTACATTCAATACGTACAGCTTTTATATATTAGCCAGACCTCAATAAGCTGATTTCAAAACACAGACTATTTCCATTTATAGTGCTTCCCAGTTCTAACAACACTCTCCCATGTACAACCTCATTTATTTCTACAAACAGCTCAACACAGCGTGCGCGACCGGTACGTGTTACACGTGAGAACTCTGGGCTCAGGCTAGAGCCCAGCTCGGCCCCTGACCTGGCAGAGGTCAAGGCAGGACCCTGGCCTCACCTCGGTGGATTTTCTTAAAGCTTCAATTAAAGACAAACCTCAAATAAGCTCTCTTGTCAATAGATACAGAGAGACTAGCGAGAGAATAAAATTCTCTGGACCAAAGTTCTTAGCTTTTTTTGGCCATAGATCCCTAAGCAATCTGGTGATGTTTTTCTCCTAAGAATATTTATAAATATGCAGAATGAAAATAGATAGGATTTCAAAGGAAACCAAATGTATTACAATATAGTTATCAAGACATTTAAAAATGTATAACACTGTGCTCCCTTATTGTGCTGGCCTGCTCCTATCACCTCGTCCTGATTACATAAACAAAAGGCAAAGCATGAAGTTTTCAGAGGCGACCTGAGGAAGGACCAGCCGGCCTGTGCTCCTCTAAATTAATGTGTCCTCTAAGCAAATTTGTTAGTTTTCAGAACTTTAGAGCAGGATGAACAGCAGGATAGATGTGTGCTGACCCAGTTCACCCAGCTCCCTTCCGCCGCCTCCACTCCCTCCTGCTTATCGCCAACTGCCTCGGCTTCTGCACTCACTTGCTCTCCTCCAAGGCCAACAAGAAATGCCAGTTGCAGAGATTTGTAACAAGCCCCCTATGAAATAGAAAAGTAGCTGAAAGTCGGGGCTGATCTTCGAGAACGTGGGATCAGTCGCCAGCTGGCTTTGCTCTCTATTTGGCTTTAATTTGGGTTCTCTCACACCACAACATTTGGAGGCCCCAGCTAGATCCTTCCCTTACAGGGAAGCCCCAGACCAGACCACTAGGCCAGCTATCAAAACTGCAGGGGGGACTGCTCTGGGGGAAGGCCTCGGAGGGACATTCCTCTGCCTCGGGACTCAGCCTGCCCTCCCAGTTTCCCTAGCCCGGTCTCCAATCCTGCTCTAAATTGAATTCTGAGAGAGTGGCTGGACTCCTCTGAGTCATCTGGAATGTCACCGGTGAGTACTGTTTTCTGTTCAGTCTGGTAGGCGCCTTTCAGTGGCAAGGGGAAGGCTGGACACGGCATTACTTCCCCGGCCAGGTCCCCCTGCGAGACGTCACAGGGAACTTCAGTCCATTAACTTCAGTCTTCAGTCGGTTCTGGAACTTATGTCAGTTGTCAGTTCTGTTTTGGTTTCAGTAACTTCGGTTTCAGCCCTGTCTGTATTGTTTTTCTGTTTGTTTATTGGCCCTCTGGATTGCCTGCTGTTGTCTGGTTGCACTTCCTTTTGTTGTCATGGGCCAAAGTCAGTCTGGTACAAACCTCCATTGCAATGCCTATTGGATAATTTTAAAGATTTCAAAACTAGGGCAAAAGCTATAATGTCCCAGTAATATAATGTCCCGGTAAGCTCTGGGACCTTACAAACCCTATGTGAACTTGAATGGCCTGCCTTCGGGGTTAATGGCCACCCAAAGGTAATTTCAATTTGCAATTGGCTTTTATGGTCCATCAGAAAATATACAGGAGCCCTGGACACCTGGATCAAATGCCATATATTGACATTTGGATTGATATAACTACAGACAAACCCAATTATATTAAGAAATGTCAGTGTCCAGAGGTTCAAAAGAAAGGAAAAACAGTTTTGTTAACAATGCCTCTGCCTGCCCTGAAGAACAGTTAACTCCTCCCGGGTCCTTGAGGAAAATATATCCGTCCTTCAGGACCCTCCTGAGGATACACTAAAATGTTAATTAACCTGAGTTTGCCTACTTTGGGTTCTTCTTACAGAAAAGCTAGAGGATAGATTTGGATCTGTTAATGATCTGTAGATTCAAAAAATGTCTATTGAAAATATGAATATATTTGCCAATCGAAAGGTAAAAGATTTGTTAAGAGAAATCTTAGAAGGAAATCATAAGGTAAATAATGAATTTAATAATATACATGAATATAAAATAATATAGAATTTATTTGCTTCTTTTTCAGCCAAAAGGAAAGTTTTTGTTCCCCAGTATTTGCCTGGGAAGCAAAAGTGATATTATTGAAATGTTTCTATGTTATGTTAATCAGGTACCTGATTCCTTAAAGACCCATTTTCTTAATCATAAGAACTGAAGTTTCACTGACCTATGTTTATGTTTAACATCTGTTGTTATCACTTCAAATAAATAAATAATTAAGTACTGTTTCATAATAATACTATATAATCTTTTGGTCAAATATGTTTGACAACCTTCTCAGGATTTGAATTTTAAGAACTTTTTCTTGATCTGGAATTAGTTTTGAGTCCTTCCAATAGGACCTGGAATTCCTCAAGGATTTGTTTTCTCTCCTATGAAAGGAAACCAATCAGTGCAGATGGCTTAGCACAGTCTGTTCCCCACTGGAGCACGGTGAGGGGACAACAGACAAACAGTCCTCACTCTCAAGGGGCTTATACTATGAGATATTTGGTAAAGTCATGCTTGGATTATTTAAAGAAAGAACGTGATTAAACCTCAGAGGCCTGAAGATCAAGCTCTTTTCGGTTTAACTGAGAAAGTTTTTTCTTTCATGGTGCAACAATTTACTGACATGTAAAAAAGAAATTGTGAAGATAATAAGGATTTAAGATTTATGAATGATAGAAAATGGAAAATTGACATGAAAGAATAAAAAAGATGACTCTTTGCCGCTTCCTCCTGCCTTGCTGGCGGGGCGGGCGGCTCTCGGAGCCTGGCTGTTGCGTCCTGTGTATGGGAGGACCGGTGTCGGACGGACATGGATGTGACCGGGTGCACTGGCTTCTTTGCGGGGGGATCCCCAGCAGCCGACGTAGTATCTGTGGAGCCTTATTCGGACCCACGATGGATACGTTACTGCCACTAACACATCCTGTGGAACCCCGAGCTTATATTTTAATTCCTCTGCCAGAGGACCCCCGAGAAGACAGACACCCCAGATTGCTCGTAGCCCCAGAAGAGACTTGGTTCACGTGCACTACCAGACTGACTCCCCGTATTAACTCACATGATGACTTTGGACTGTGTATTCTAATTTATGTAATCCTGCAGGTCTACTCTTACTCCGGTGAAGGCGGCACGAACATTTTGGAATCTCAGCTGGAAGGAAAAACGGGCAACACCCATATTAGTTCCTCTTAGCGAGCTTAGGAACAGCAGGCCCTGCAGCCGTTGGTACAACTGCACTAGTCACGGGAGACCAGAATTTTAAGGCACTTAGTAAACAGATAGATCGAGACCCCTCAATCTAGAAAGCTCTATCACCTATTAGAAAAGTCCCTAAATTCCTTAGCTGACATCACAGAATAGAAGGGGACTTGATCTCTTCTTAGTACAAGGAGGTCTGTGCATGGCTCTGGGGGACCTGCTGTTTCTGCGCTAATCACTCCGGCATCACACGAGACGGCCTCTCCCTAGTTGGGCAAAGGCTCCAACACAGAGAAGAACTAAGAAAATCAGGAGCAGCTGGTTCGAGGGGCTATATCATTGGTCTCTGGTTACAACCCTCTTATCAGCGATAGCAGGACCTCTTCTATTGTTGCTCTTAGGGCTACTTTTTGGCCCCATAATTATTAACTGGTTGACTAGATATATCAGAGAAAGAACCCAGACAGTTAAACTTATGGTCCTAAACACCCATTACCAGAGAATTCAAAAGTCAGGTGAGGAAACAATGAATCGATTCCCCTGAAACCGGCGGGGAATGGACGGCTCCTATCACCTCGTCCTGATGAGATCAACAAAAGGCCAACCACGGAGCTTGCAGAGGCGACCTGAGGAAGGGCCAGCCGGCCTGTGCTCCTCTGAATGAGTGTGTCCTCTAAGCGAACTTGTTAGTTTTTAGAACTTAGAAAATAGAACGAATAGCAGGATGAACAGCAGGATAGATGTGTGCTGACCCAGTTCCCCCAGCTCCCTCCCACCTCCGCCCCCTCCCGCGTATCGCCAACTGCCTCGGCTTCTGCACTGGCTTGCTCTCCCCCAAGGCCAACAAGAAACGCCAGTTGCAGAGGTTGTAACAAGCCCCCTATGAAATAAAATAGTAGCTGAAAGTCGGGGCTGATTGCCGAGAACTCGGGATCCGTCGCCGGCCGGCTCTGCTCTCCATTTGGCTTTAATTTGGCTCCGGTGGTCTCTGGGTTCTCTCGCGCCACAACATTATTAAGATGTTAAACATCACCATTAAGGAAAGGAATAGCTACCACACTTTTGAAATAGTAAAAACATAAGTGATATTTCAAAGCACCTACCAGAAGTGTATAAAATATTGACTTTCTATTGGTGACAAAGTACCTACCTACATTATGATAAAAGGAAAATAAAATTTTCACATAGAGAATACTGAACACAGAGATGTAACTGTTTCTCTGGTCCAAGTTCTCCGGCCCCTGAGGTCTGGGCCTGGGAATAAGAACCTGCGCCCAGCTCCCTGCCCCCACCTGGGTCCTCGTCCGTGGGCAGCAGCACCCTCCCTGTCCAGCCGGGGAGACCAGCTTACCCTCCAGGGTCTCGCACTGGACCAGGTTGGCGTAGTCCTGCGGGGTCAGGAGGCCAGCCTTGCAGCCTCGGGCCAGGCCCTCCAGGTAACCATGGTCCACGTTGAAGCACAGCTCTGCGGTTTCCAGCATGGGGACAGGTCAGGGCTGGCCAGGCGGGGACAGCGGCGTCTTGGGAGCCCTCAGACTGGCACTGGTCTGGGAGAGCGCGGGGCACAGGAGTTACCAGGAAGCCGTTCCTCAGCTGACAGTCAGGGTTTGGGTGACTAGTTTCCTCCAGTTTCAGTGGCTCTGACCACAGAGCGCTCAGCAGTGTTGACAGCAACAGTGACTCTGCGACTGTCAACCTGTGAAGCTGCTGCTACAGGACGGGCAGCAGGAGGGTCAGGGCTGGCTGGGCTCCACCCAGAGCCTCCCCAGCTTTGCCCCGAAAGGGGGAAACACGGGATGTTTTGTAAATATCCCCTCAGCTGAGCTCAAAGTAAGTACTCAGTTTCTTCAGGGCTGTTTTGTGAAGACAGAGAGGGCCTTTGAAAGAAAACTAAGTTATGTAAATGAATCCCTTGGGGGCAGGCGGATTAAAGAATCCTGAGGAGCAAACCCAGCCCTTTGGGTGTGTTTGTGTTTGTTTAAAAATGTAAAACTTTCTGTGATAAGACACTTCGAACCTACACAAAAGGAACCAATACCTCGATTGACCCCCAGGTGTCCATCCCTCAGCCTCAGTGATGGCCGCTCAGGGCCAACGTGCTGGCTTGACCTGGGTGGGCAGGCTTTCTCCGCAACGGTCCCAGCGTCAGTATTCCCGGCCTGTGGGCTCAGAGCGCCTCTGTGGCCAGCACTCAACCTGGCCACTGTGGAGGAAGCAGCCACAGACCATGTGTCAATGAATGAGCACAACTGCGTTTCAACAAAACTTTATTTACGAAAACAAGTGGAGGGCAGATTGGCCTCTTGGTCGGCTGGCCAACCCCTCGCCCCTCCTCCCCACTCTGAACCACTGTCCAACAGATACAAGCCATCCTGTGATTTTATCCATAAACATTCCAGGAAGGAGTCCGAAATGTCATCATGGTTCTCTTATAACAAAGTTATCCCTTAATACTAAGTATATCGTCAATGTTCAAATGTTCTCAACATAAATTTTTTTTTACGCTTGATGTATTTGATTGAGGAGAGGTGACATCGATGTATGTGTCCCTGAGCTCTCTTAGGTCCCCTCCCCTCCCACTCCCCCTGCTTCCTGTGGAAGAAACTGGGTCACCTGTTCGACGGGGTGCTCACGGCTTGGGTTTGCTGATGCCATCTGGAGGTGTCCTTCAACTTACCTGTCTCCTCTCGCTCCTGTAAGTGGTAGTTAGATCTGGAAGAGGGATCACTTGATGTTAGTTTTTTTTTTTTTTTCAAGAACACTTTACACGTTTGAATACGTGCAGCAGGATCCCTGGAGCGCCCCGTGTTCGCTGTTTTGGTGTTGGGCGTCAGCAGCTGTGAGGATCACCACACACCCGGTTTCTTCTGGGGCCACACAATGACTGCTTGCAGTCCATCCTCCTTTCTTCAGTCACCAGCTGGGACACTTCTATAAACCCCACACGTTCGGCGTCAGCTCTCGGCGCCTGGTTCCGGTGATGAGGGCGGGACCAGTGCTTCCCTCTCCCGCTCACTCCCCACTCTCCAGGGCGCTTTATCAGCGCGGGGCTGTCCCCTCCTACCAGCCCAGCGGGAGGCCCGCTTGGATAGACAGCGGGGTTCTGGTGGCGAGAGCGTGATGGCACCTGGCAAGCAAGCAGTGCGGAAGCGGTGTCAGCGGCTCGCAGCCCTGCTTCGGGAGTAAATGACCTTAGTCTCACAATGGGGCAGTTATTCTTGCAGGACATGGACAAGATTGAAGGTTTCTTCCTCCTTCAAGGTCCCTGGTTTCTAGGGGTCAGTGAGCAGGAAAATTTTAATTACATGTTCTCACGGTACTTTAGCTGTATGTTTTCTGTTTCATTGCCCTGTCATCTGTCCTTCAGTTTGGGTTTAACTCTGGCAGTCTCTGTGCCAGGCTCGTGGTGCACGATTTTCCCAGACCTGCACCTGCCGTTTCCCTGCCTGTCTTCAGGGGTGTTGGGGTGAAGACCAGCATCTGCATCGACTGCGCCCCGAGGAGAGCGGCGTGAACCCACGCTGCGGGAAGGCCAGGTGGCCGCCCAGGCGGTGGTGCTAGGCGCAGCCAGCTCCGCTCGGCCGGGCTTCGGGTGGGCCAAGGTCACCTTTGCTTAACTTCTTCCTCCAGTACTTGACTTTTTCTGATTAGAACAAATCAAAGCAAAACAAACCTCCCACACCGGTCCAAGGAAAACATCGTGCCAAAGAACTGAGTGTTGAAACCACATGAATCAACTCTGGTGCATTCTTCAAGAAAGCCCCGCTGGATTCCAGGGGGACTCAGTGAGGACAACCCGAGAGCAGGTGCCCTATTCTATGCGGCCTCACATGGGGGCACTCCTGCCTTCACTTTCTCCTCACGGAGGAGGCTCTGCAGTCGCCAGGACCGTCCCTGGCAGCCACAAGGGTTCTTATGCTTGAGCTGAGGGATGGGACTCTTTACACTTTGTTGATTTGCGGGAATACAAGCTTTGAAAGGTGTCTTAGCATTTTCTTCTTCCCCAAGAGGCTGGGTATTTCAGGAGCTGGCTGGCTGTGAGCTCTGAGCCCTCAGCGATGGGCAATGTGCTGTGTGCCCTAATTTTGTGTTTTAACGAAACCGAAACCGTATTTGCCTTTATAGAGTGTGAATTGCCCCCGGGCCAGGTATGGTGAAGGTCTCCCCTTCTCCAGTGACCCTCTTTCGATTCTGGAAACAACACTGCTCCAATGGCAAGAGCTTTAACCCATTAGGAAGGAGTCAGCCGTCACTTAGTGTTTAGATACAGTATCTACGTAGGTATCACTGTAACGCAAAGGTAAAAAGTTCAAAATCCTGGAATGACTGTTTATTTCAAAAGCTCATTCATTAGTACTTTGGAGGCAGGAGAGTGAGAAGACAGGGACATTCCTTGCCACGTGGAATGGGGAAACTGAGACGAGCTGAACAAACCATCCAAGCAGTTTACAGTGGATGCAGAGGCCCCACTCTGGAGATGACCTCTAGGCCTCGGTTGTATTTCAGCTCCAGGCCCAGAAAGCAGCCAAACCAGGTGGGCGCAGCCAGGATTAGCTGCAGTGATTATGACCCCCTGCCTTGGCACTGACCCATCAGTGAGGACCAGGACCCTGAAAGGGCACAGCTGGAAACGCTGATAAATACTCTATTGAGAGCCTCCCACAACACCCCCTTATACTCCCAGCCTTTAAAACCCCCAAAACAGAGGACCAGCATGCTCTCCCGCCTGGGACCACATCCCCGCCTCTCCCTTCCCCCTTTTCTTCCTGACAGGTGAGCATCTCCTAAGCTCTCAGGGACCCAGGAGGCTTGCAACCAGGGGAGCAGTGGGCAGCGGCAGCTCGACCTGCCCCCCCCTTTCTCTAGGGAGCCAAAGCAGCCCCCCCCCACTCTCCTGCTGCTTCTCCTACCCTAGGCCCTTCCTTGTTTCACTGTCCTGGCTCTAATAAACACACTCCCAAAATCACCTGGACTTGTGCTGCAAATCTTTTCCTACACAAAGTCAAGAACCCACACCCTACCGGCCAGCAGGGGGCAGATCCTCTCGGCCCGGTCCCCTTTCCAGTAACACTTTCATCCAAATTTTATATTCCGACTTGCAGAGAAATGAACAATTGCCTGAGCAAGATGATTTCTCTTCTCTTTTTTTAAAAAAATTTCTTTTCTCTATATTTTATAGTTTGTTCTATGTTTATTGTTTTTTGTTTCTGCTCACCACAGCAATGCATACCGGAATATCTGAGGTAGGGTTGCCCCTAGTAGCAATCCGAAGAACTGACACTAATCACAGTTTGGGTGAACTCCAAAATATTCAAGCTCCCAAATATGTGCCATTATTTTCCAAGGGTCATGTTGGTGCACAGCCACAAGGGGTCAGCGTGTCACAGCAAATGTCCTTGCAGTGGCTTCATCTTCCTTCCATTCGGGGAAATTGTCACACAGTTTCAACGGGGCTTCCAGCTGCTGACTTTCAGAGATTTCTTTAGACTCCGGAGCCCCGCTGTTCCCCAAGCTCGTCACTGATGCAAGAAAACCCTTCTTTCCTCCTAAACAGCAAATGACTATGAAAAAAATATTTTCGTCCGTTATGTCACAGTCTGGTTTCATTTACCATATTTATTCACAGAGATGGATCATGTAGAGAGACGGTCAGTGAAACGGGGGTGGGGGGGTGAAAAGCCCTGTGGACAGACAGGTCTGGGAGATCAGTCCCCACCGGCACCACCTGGGCGCGTCAGAGGGCGCGTTACCGCGGGAAGGCTCTGAGAAGAAGCCCTTTGCTTCACCTTGAAACAGCATTTTTCAAACAACCAATTAGACAACCAATTGGTCCCTCAGTGTGGGCCCGTCCTGCCTCTAGCAACCTGAAGAAGTAGTATTCTTTGGGAGATTCTGATTTATAACATTAATTATTTTTTTAAATGTTGCACACCTCATACACCACACTCTTATAGAAGCATTCATTTTCAACTTGAAAGAAATTATATCTTTTTGAATTTATATGCATTTTAAAGGTTTATTTATCTTTTCCTTTATTGATTTTAGAGAGGAAAGGAGAGGGAGAGAGAGATAGAAACATCGATGAGAGAGATGGCCACCTCCTGCATGGCCCCCACTGGGGATCGGGCTCACATCCTGGGCATGTGTCCTGACCGGGAATCGAACTGGCGACCTCGTCGGCATGGGTCGACGCTCAACCAGTCAGCCACACCAGCCGGGCAACATATGTATTTTAAAATTTATTAGCTTTTCAATATTTTCTTCTTCTCTCCAAATATTTCACATTTTTAATTTTTTTTAGTCTTAATGGCAGACATCCCAGGACCTATTTTGCTACAGTGGTCGCTTGTATGGTGGCTGCATGAACTAGTGATGAAAATTCACCAGCAGAAAGGACAGATGGCATTATTATGCTGAGAACAGTATTTCTATGAGAAAGTATGATTAACTAAGAAAAATTAATTACTACAGGTAGTAAATTAATTATTTTACATTATTAGAAGTCTAGAAAAATGTCACAGAAATATCTGTAATTAGAAAGGTTTTTTTTTACTAAAAAAATGTACAATCTTAGAATAAGGAGGGGACCTCAGGGGTCATTTGATATGTCATAACAGCTG